ACAATGGGCCAGCCACGCGGTCCAGGTCAGTTCGTTTGTAATAAACTAAGGGTTACTGGGAACGATTTATACACGACGAAGAATTGGATCGGTTTTTGTCGGTAAAAGAAGAAATAGAAAAAAAAATATTTTAGAAACTTAGACTATTTTTTATATGATTAATTTTAAAATGTTGTGCAATAATTGGGAATTTTAACGAATTTTTATACGAATTCTCAACATATTATGTCTTATCGTTCATTTCAAAACTTAAGCCCGAGGCCATTGCTAGGGTAATCGGTCACTCATATTTTACAATAGTGTATATTATGTGTAGATGATGGCCTAAAAATCGGAATATGATTCGTGATATTTTCGGAGACCATTCTGAGTACCCGCATCAGATTTAAAAATATGATAATAAGTCCATTCCTAAATCAACATATTTGGTCTACAATATTTAAGACAACAGGAATATCATTTAAAATTTCAAAGAATCAAATATATATTTATCGCAATGTGTGGATACACACTAATGTGACCGCCAATAAAAATCAAAACAAATAAAATCACCATCACCAAGAAGAAGACTACGTCATCATCTCAAACAAACTAGTTGTATTTATTACAAGTTTCAGAGTTCTACCGATGGCATCAAGCATATCATCATTATTTTCTTCAGACCACTCCGTGCACGAGAATGTCTTTCGTTTCGTGATATTCCATCAGGTGGTTGATTTCTCTATTCAATTTTAAACAAAACACAAACAATTCCCTCAACTATATTTAGCAAGGAAAATATTTCATTCGCTCTAATTTAAAGTTTAGTGAAATATGTGTTGTTTCTGTATGAGCGAGTTGTTTGTTTGTTTCCTTCTTTCATTCTTGCTTCCCATCTTGCCGTAGAGTGGAAACAGACATTTTACATATTTTTTTCGTTAATTTTTCAATGATTTACTGAATGGGTGTTGTGCGTGTTAGCTATGTTTCTTTTTAAGTTTTCACAATTAAAAGCAGCCATTTATTTTGGCTTCAAATTTTTGGCCCAAAAACATTTTTGTGGTAATGAAGTTTTAGTTTGTATGACGAGAATTTGAATCATTCAACCGAAGTGACAATTTCATTATCAGAAGATTTAAAGTAATATTTATAAATGACATATACTTTTTGCTAATTTATTCAGTGTTACAATATCAAATTTTAGATTCTTTAATTATGTATTATTTAAAATAGAATTTCTCATAGCATTTGGCAGTCATGCCAAATTACGGACTTCAGGTTATAGCAATACAACATTTACGACATTGCAATGTGGCCACTACATATTTATACTCTCAGTCATATGGCTACAGATAGGGATAAAACGTCCCTCATAGAAATAACGGTTTAAGATCCTAGACCTCTTTGGACCAAATCCGTTTCAGGACATTTGGAATCGATTTAGGGTTGTCCGTCCGTCCGTCTGGCTGGCTGGTGCGAACGATAACTCTCGATGGGTGTATCCAAATTAACTCAAACTTGGTACATCGTACTATTATTGTCAAACTTAGTTTGAGTTCGGAGGTAGACAATATTGGCCCACTCCTTCGGATCAGGAAATAAATACTTATATCTCTCATAACTTGCGATACAAGTCAGCAATTCTATTCACATTCAGTATATGTAATTATTTTTCTCAACCAGAGATATGATATAAAAGTGGAATTTATCGGATTAATCCTTCTCGTACCTCCTACAAAAATTGATAGTTATTCGCATAAAATTGGAAGTTCGTGTTCGATTTTCTCTATATTCTGCACTTTCCAATATTTTTTATCAGTATTAGATAAAGTGGAATGCTACGCAACATTTTCCAAATATGATCACATTGCTCATACCAAGTAAAGAAAGTAGAAAAATTAGTCCATATCTGATACGTTTTAATATATATCTGACTTATGTACTTATATACGAAATGGACAATATTGGCCAACTCCTTCGGAAATTCCCCCATATGGGTTCAACATTTTGAATAATCATAACGGATGTGAAAATATATTTAAATAAACGAACAATAGTTGACGTCAGACATCTGTCGGCAAACCGACTGATACTATTTAACTTGTTTTTCTTCGCTTAATTATCAAATAATTATTCCACTTATTAAAATGTATTTACATTATTTGATGAGCCACCTTAACATTTATCCCCTTCTCAGTGTGCTTCTTCGGTAGCTCATTTTTAAAATAACGTTCTGATTTTATATGCAATTGTAGAAGATTTGTGGTTTTAGGTCAGATTGATATTATGTACTGCCTTTATCGCCAATGTTTGTCGAGTGTTCGAGTAAGATCGAAGTTGAGAGTAACCGCTTCGTGAGAGCACTCACTGTCGTGCTACCTCGTGCCAAGTATAACCGATACTATTTATCTGCGATTCGCCCAACTCCGCTATCCGTTCGATTCTATATAATATTATCCAGTGGTCCATCATCGAGCCAGCTTTTTCAACCCGAATAAGCCGACCTTCAACCGTTAAATCGCCAGCCGACCTATTGTCACAAACTCCAATTTTCCTTCAGCCATATGGCTACCAGGGGGTCTATACCATTTTATGCGGTCAGAACGTGCCACATCGAAATAACTGTTTTAGACCCTAGGTCTCTTTGGATCAAATCCTTTTCAGGACACTTGGAGTCGATCTAGCGATTTCCGTCGGTCCGTCTGTCTGTTGGTGCGCACGATATCTCTCGAAGGGGGTTTCCTATTTAGTCCTAACTTAATACATCGTAATATTATTATAATGGACAATATCGGACTACTCCTTCTGATACTTCCCCCAAAAAATGTGGAAATTAAAAAAAAATATATTTTACTGCACACAAAGAGAAAGGTTTATCAGATTTTGCTCCAACTATACAAATCCTAATATTTGCATCAGTATTGGTCAGGTGCGAAAATGGATAATATTGGTCCAATCTATCAAGTACCTCAACATTTTGAATAATTAAAACTCTGTGATGAGAGAGTCCGATTGTCTTCAAATTGCTCACATCTCAATATTTTTAGTAACTCAAGATCCGGTGTGAAGATGGAATATGTCGGTCCACTCCCTCTGGTACCTCCCCCACAAAGGGTCAAACTTTAGAATAACCAAAACGATTATAAAAGACGGAATAAGCATCCAGTTCTCTTCATATTTCACACATCCCATTATTATACCCTCCACCTTGGAAAGGAGGGTATACTAACATTGTCATTCCGTTTGTAATATGCCTAAATATTCGTCGTAGACCCCATAAAGTTCATAATCATCATATAATTCTAAGTCGAATTTAACGATGTCCGTCTGTCTGTCAGTTGAAATCACGATACAGCCCACATTATTTGACGTAGAGCGTAGAAATTTAGCAGAACAATTTGTATTGTATCTAGAATGGTTGGTATACCACGTCTGGGTATAGTCCCCATATAACGGTACCGATATTCGGTATTTTGGTTTTTGCCACATTTTTTCAAGGCTTTGTCTGAATATTGGTATTTGTAGGTCATAATGGGTCCTAGTTTGTGCGCCGAAATATTGTATGTATGGTATAGCCCGGTACCTCCCGATTTTTGGTATGTTGATGATTTTTGCCACATTTGTTCACTGATTTGTCTAAAAATTGGTATTTGTATGTCCTAATGGGTTCTAGCTCCGTTGACGAAACATTGTATGTATAGGTTCACGTTTTTGTGTAGCCCCATATGTAGCGGTAGCTAACGATATTCGATATTTTGATGATTTTGCCACATTTTTTCACGGATTTTTTTCATATAAAGTAAAAATTGGTATTTGTTGGTCATAATGGGTTCTGGCTGCGGTTGCGAAACATAGGATTTATAGTTTTTTTGTAGCCCCATATATCGGTACCTCCCGATATTCGATAATTTGATGATTTTTCAAATATGTCTAAAAATTGGTATTTGTGGGTCATAATGGGTTCTAATGTTTCTCGGCCCGGCCCGGCCGAACTTAATGTTTTTTATTTGTTTTTACTAACACTAGACCTGATGTGAATACGGGATATAACGGTCCACTTATTCTGGTACATCCTCCACAAGGGTCAAAATGTTGAATATCCATCAAGCTTATAAAACTCGAAATTAATTTCCAATTCCATTCAGATTTGATACATCTCAATATTTCCATCAAAATAAGGCCAATTATAAAGATTGTAGAAATAGGACCATTTTTTCTGGTACCTAACCCACACAGGGTTCAAGATTTTGAAAAACAAAACGTTTAAAGCATTAAAACGAAATAAGCATCCAACTCTCTTCAAATTCCACACAGACAAACACAAAGTCTGTTTTGAAGATGACATATATCTACGAACCCCTTCTTATACCTCAACCATAAAGGGTCACAATTTTCAATTGTTTTGTCTGTCCAACTTGCGAAACAAGTCAGCGATTCTTCACAACTTGCAATATCTAAATACTACACTAGGTTCCTAACAGCACACAGCAAAATAAGTATAACGGGTACGTGTGAAAGATTCAAATTGGACCTCCATTTAAATTATTTTTTTAAATAGTGCACATAGTGATGAATGGTTGATTTTTTGCCCAGAATGTTTTAATTTGTTGGACGAAAACATTCGACCGAATCAAGAGAATTGGAATATAGCTTTCATTGAAATGTGTTATTGGAGGTGGAGTTAATTTATATTCATTAAAATATGTCACATGTCGGTTTGTTGCCTTTCTTATTGACAAATGGACTTACATGTCTTTTCACGTGGCCTTAACATTCGCCTAAAATGGCATATTTAATTGAGTCTCTCCCCAACCCTAGAATTCAAATACATTGTATAATAGATATATGGAGATACAACTGCTGTATTATTCTTTCATTTGCCATTCTATGTTAAAAATAAATATTTATTCATGTTTCTTTATCAGTCAGTCAGTCAGTGTTTGCCTGACTTAAGTGTGACAATTCAGAAATAATTTTATTCACGTCTCTTTGTGTTTTTTTGTTCTTCTGTTCTTTTGCAGATTCTGTGAATGCATCGTGTGGAAAAAACATCAGATATCATTGTGGTAGGTAAGCATCGTTGCGTCATGAATCTATTTTCAAATGAAGAAAGCAACAAAATAATAGCAACATACAATACAAATGCATACCGTATAATACAAGTGTATATGTTTGTGTGTACATATGTTTCATTTGATTCGAGGTGTTCTTTAAATAGACCTAGCAATCTATTGAAATGATATTATCATAAGTGTTAAAGAGGGACGAATGGAATAAATTCGAAACATAAGTCATATTAAGGCAATAGTTAGATGAAATACAATATCCATAATAACCTTTTAAATTTATGGAGAAATTTAAAAGGGTTTCCAAAAAGTTTCAAACTTGGTTTAAACATCCACCGTTTCAAATAAAAGAAAAACTGAGAAACTTCTTCCACTAAAAACTATAAATTCTAAGTATCACAAGTGTCGGAACAGCATTCTCAGTTTATATATGTGAAAAGTTTTAAATAATAATATTTCTGATAAAAAATTGAACTTAATAGAGCCAAAAATTATTCTTGCACATGTAAATGGATCTTCCGATCTCGCCGAGTTGAGTTGATCTACCTATGTATGTATGACGGATGTCCCTGTTTATTTGTAATCACGCTACAGGTCGCAAATTTTGGCCCGATTATCACGAAATTTTGCATGGAGTGGGGTTAAGATCAAAATAGAAGCCTTTTGTTGGAGGGAGATGATCGTAATATATTTAGGGATTGAAATGGACCAAAAACAGAAAAAGTCTTGATTTTGTAGTTATTCAGAGGTCACAGCTATAGACTAATCGTCTCGTAATTTAGCATGAGGCTACAGTTTAGGGGTATAAGCCTACCAATTTGGATGGGCATCGAATAGTATTTTGCGGTTGAAATAGACCATAACTTTTATGTATTAAATACGAACATTTCCATTAAATGCCAAAGGAATCTATGTTAGTTTCTATGCACATAACTCAAAAACAGCTGGATTGATTTTCACAATTCTCATCGATTCGGAATGGTCTCTTACCAGAAAATGATAAAATCTAAGAAAATCGCGTAGAAATATAACAATAAAGAAGATAATATTTTTGGTTACTTTTTTATTTTTTGTTATGTTAATAATAAACATTATTAACTCATGCGATTTTTAAGGACAGGGCAGAAGTTTAGCTATTTGGATAAACAAAAGCTATCAGGACGACAGAAAGTGTAAACAAGTGCCCCCGGTCAAAAACCAAACGTTCCATTTCTTCAGGGCTGTATGACATTTTTTCAAAAATTAAAAATCAGTCATACATTTGCCTGGACATTCTTTCTTTTTCATACACGTATGATCTCATTTTGGCCGACCCTGGTTCGGGCCTTCGTAAATCGAGTGTTTTAAATTCCAATGATAATATCTGTCTTATATATATATATAGATAATATTAGTTCTAGTCGATCAAATTTGAAAGTTTAAAGTGTTTAAGTTATTATCTTTAATAAAAACTGTATAATATTTATCAAAGATATGTGCAATCATTCGACCCCATCCAGTGCATATGAATGCATGCATATATCAATGGTGTGTATGTTATAAATTCTGATGTGTGACTTCATTGGTCCAACTTGTTTGGTTTGCCCCGTGTCTGCATCGGGATGGTGATGCCAACAACTGAGCATGCAAATGCAAACAAACAACGAACAATGACGTTATTTAGGCTCATCGATGCCGTCCACCGAATGCATCTATTTTCAATCTGGTGCAAGTTTGTTTTCCTCACGCTTCGCCATCGGTTACGTTTGCTGAAGCGAAAAATAAAGATTCAGTCATTGCATAGTTGCGGTGCATTCAAAAGCAGCAGAAGAAGGTCATTGTATTTGGTTTGATATTCATGAGAGCACGAACGAACATTCGTATTTTTAGGCTGGCAAATGCACGTTTCGCATCGAACGCACTGTTTGGGATCGAGAGTGTGGGTGGATGTGTAGTTGGTGTTTTTGTTTTGCACTTCCATTCTTGGAGACGAAACTATTTGCGTGCCATTTTTATGATTTGTAATTTTAAAAATATCCAGCTAATTTTAATTTTTTTTTTCCGATTCCGGTTTCTTTTTCTCATGTCGTTGCCGCAAAAATTTCCATAGCGATTTTAGTGACTCGAATAATAGTATATATGTATAAATATCCATGTCGCACAAAAGTTGTACATAGTGGCTACTTTGTGGTTTGTTTCGGCCACGTTGAAGTGCAACATGGATGTGGGTTGGGCGCAACTGCGAAATAATGGATGTACGCTTTCGTCGCTTTTCATATTTCCTCTTAAAGATTTTCACAAACAACTTTTGTTTGTTTGTTTGGCTTTTCATGAGGCAACAAATAGTCAGTCAGTGGTCGGAGGCATAAATAAATAATGGCATCGCACAGATGTTATGAAAGTTGACTATAAATAACTTTCATTTTCATATTGCATAAAATTTTCACACGCTTCTTTCCTCGCTGTTGACCTGGATTGGTTGAATAAGTTTATTAATTGGTCTTTAATTATATATTTATAAGATCAAAACATGTCGTTCGGACATTTTAAATCTTCTTCGCGCAAATATATGCACATGGATGTATGGACAATATTCCTTTAGTGACATTGAGAGGAAAATTGTTAATTTTATGTTAAATTTATTTTAAGTTCACGGTTTACACACAGACATCGCTGTTTTGTATGACACAAGGGATATGTATATTAAGTTGTGGGACCGCACAAACATTTACAAAAATTTAAAGGATTAACGCAAATAACGAATGAGTAGTAAAAACAAAACTTCTCATGGTATTCCATCATAAAATGTTGGCACTGATTTTTTATTCGAATTGTTTTTCTATTGAGTTTTGGAATTCAAATAAAAACTGTTAAGTTTAACAAATGCGCTTACAAGAAATTTTCGCATTTTCTTTCGTTTTACAAAACTTTTCTCCGATATATCATGTTTTAAAAGATGTTTCTCAATTAACACCTTTTTTGTGAAAACAAATATTTTCTTGCAACCCATTCATATTTAAACGTTTTCGTTTGAAATTTGATTTTCATAATAATTTCGAAAGTTTTCACCTAGGCCGAAATTACATTAGGCAATATAGGCAGGAGAGAGAGAGAGCTGGAAATTTTGCGACAATTCTTTATGTGCATTCAAACTCTTGACCCTCTATGGAGTAGGTTCCGATGGATTGTCCATTTCGTATCGGACCTACATAAATATGATATAAATATTGCAACATGCCAGGTTTGGACCATATTTGTTACTTCCTTCACTTTATATGTGATAATTTTTACAAAATGTTAAAATGCGCGCGAGGTACCAGATTTTGTGGACCGAAATATTTCATTTTCACACTTCATATAATCAAGAAAATCTAACATGTTGATCATTTGTGGGGGAGGCACCAGAAGGAATGTTGCGATCTCTGCCAACTTCAAAACATATCTTGTGTTGATACAAACATTGTGATGTGCCGTGTTTGAATGGAATCGGGTGTTAATTGCTTGTTTTATGACCTGCAGGTATATTATAAATGTTGACGTTTTGTGGGTAGGTACTTGATAGAGTGGGCCGAGATTTGTTCCAATTGACCGATGATGCAAATATTAGGATTTACAAAGTTAGAAGAAAATCAGACGATCCTTTCTCTATTGGCACAGTAAAATATTTTTTTTTGAAAATTTCGACGTCTTGTGGGGATGTTCCATAAGGAGTGAACCGATATTGCCCATCTCCGAACTTTATCTAAGTTTGATAATAATATTACTATGTACCAAGTTTGGACAAAATCGAATACTCCATTCGAGAGCTATCGTGTGGATCGACGAACATCGCTAGATCGACTCTAAATGTCCGGAAACGGATTCTAAAGAGACCTAGGGTCTAAACCATAATTTCGATGAAGCACGTTTTGGTCGTATCAAATGATATATACCCTCTGTAGCCATATGATGGTATAAAAATCTTATTATCTTCAAATTTTGCTTATCACATCACTACTACACTATACTCCACCAACTCCATATATTGTATAAAGATGGGATAGATGTTTGCATTGTTTTTGTTTGGATTTATTCTTACAAAAACCAAATTTACATGCAGGTGGTAATATTTTGTTACAAATTTTATTTTGTTATTATACCCTCCGCCTTGGAAAGGAGAGTATATTAACTTTGTCACTCCGTTTGTAACATCCCTAAATATTCGTCGTAGACCCAGCATAAAATTCTAAGTCGATTTAACGATGTACGTCTGTCTGTTGAAATAACGATACAGGCCACATAATTTGACGTAGAGCGTCAAAAGTTAGCAGAATAATTTGTATTGTGTCTAGGATGGTTGGTATTGAAAATGAGATATATCGGTCCACAGTTTGGTATAGTCCCTATATAACGGTACCTCCCGATATTCGGTATTTTGATGATTTTGGTATTTATAGGTCATAATGAGTCCTAAGACAATTTAGCCATGTCCGTCAGTCTGTCTGTGTGTCTGTCTGTTGTAATCACGCTATCTTTCGCTAATCACGCTAAGTTCGTAAATGGGCTATGTAGGTCGCCGTTTTCATATAGCCCCCATATAACGGTACCTCCTGATATTCGGTATTTTGATGATTTTAGCGACACTATTCACCGGAATTGTTTCATATTTGGCATTTGAAGTTCGAAATGGATACTACAGCCTGAGACAGCAAATTGTCTGTGCAAGTCCACGTCTTCGTATAGCCCCCATATAACAGTATCTCCCTATATTCGGTATTTTGATGATTTTAGCGACATTATTTACCGGAATTGTTTCAAATTTGGTGTTCGAAGTTCGAATGGATACTACAGCCTATACAGGTCCACGTCTTCGTATAGGCCCCATATATCAGTACCTCCTTATATTCGGTATTTTGACGATTTTAGGTACAATACTCACCGAAATTGATTGAGATGTCGTATTTGAAGTTCGTAATGGAAGCTACAGCCTGTGACAGAAAATTGTCTATACAGGTCCAGGTCTTTGTATAGCTTTTATATAA